ATCAAGGTAGATTAACAGCAGTGTTTAGAAAATCAGTAGCAGACAAATGAAACTTTCCCATCCCCCTTGATCACAAGGTGAGCCTTCTCTTTCATATGCAGAGCTTGCTATTGCTATCCACTGCTTTGCCTCTTTTGAAGTAAACTGATCAACATGCTCCATTTATTTTTAATTGATAGCAATTCTGGAACTACTATTACAGTGTCTGCCAACATGTTAAATGAGGCACTGTGCAAACAGTGTATGACACTAGTACTTGAGAACTTGCATTTTTTATTCATAAACATCTGGGGAGACTAGAAGATGCTGGCTCCAAAAGCCATAAGGGAGATGGGACTGGCCTGCCTGAGCTCTGACATCACTTGCCAGTTAGATTCAGTGGGACAACCAGTGCTGAAGTCTCTTTGGTGTAATGAAGACAAGGCTGCTGGCTGGACGGCTCTGTAAGAGGACTGAAGCACTAACTGGTCCATATTTGCTCACTTTTGGTGTAATCTCCAAGGACTCTTTATTCCCCTGGCTTTCTGGAAAAGAGCTGGAAAAGCAGAGAACCCACATATGGACATGTAGTTATTAGAGAACATCTTACTGTTAATATAAGTTGTCTGACATTGTGTTTCCACTGATTTAAGTATCTGGCAGGGCACAGAGACTCCACGTATGTTTTAAATTTCCTTCTCCCTTTATTTATTTATATTGAACAAGTATGTCATTGCTTTACTCCAACCATGATAGTTCTGGCTAGTCTTTAAATAACTCAAAGAGAACTATATAGACTCTGCTGTTGCTTCTCATGACTTCTACCCATGCAGCTCCTGCTTGTAACATCATTTGCTATGCGAGAGAGAAAACCCCTTTTGGCTCTGCTGGGGCTTTGAGGGGTTTTGTGCAGAAAGTGATTAGCAATGAGTTTTCTCAGTCTGGACTTTCTTTGTGTCCATTCAGTCAACAATCAATTAAGGTAACTTGAATTCTGTTGTCATACCTCCCACCACTTGATGGCTCTCAGTGCATCATCCCAACAAATGTCAAATCACTTCTGCTCTCACTGGGGCCACTTTCTCTGATTGCTCTCTTCTGAGTGTTTTAAAGATAGGTGCCCTAAGCTCTGACTTCGGCTTTTCTTTCTCTCAGTCCAGGACTGCCTGTCCTCCTCCAGCTATCTCCTCACAGTTAATGAGTCTCCTCATTCATTTATTCTGTCTCCTTGCAAGTATTTTTAGACTGTGATCATCTCCCTTGGGTTGGCTATTCCTTAAACAAGATAAATGCTATTTAACGTCATCTTTTCTCATATGTTCCCTGTGCCTTATTACTTGAGACTCTTCATGTTTTAACTCTATATCCTCTGAGAATATTCAATTAAGACCTTTTGTATGCAGGCCTTGAGGACTGCCCAATAGTGTAGTATGAAGAGGAAAACCATCTACTTCTTATTTTGTATGAGATTCTTACTATACATAAGAACAGACTTCTTCCTATTTACTTCAGGGTTGTATCCCCTAATTTGCTCTATACTGTCATTGCAAAGACTTCTGAGACCTTAGAGGTGGCACCATGTTTTCAGGTAGCCACACTTAAAATAGACAAACCACTAAGCAAAATTCTATGGTTTCTGTGCAAGGTCTTAAGCAACAGGGAGCTTTTACTTCAGCCACTAGCATTACCAGAGAAGAAATGATGCTCATCTGATTTTCCAAAGCCAGAGAAGCCCCAAGTGTTTTATTTTTAAAACCTTTATAAGTATTTAGACATTGTCACAAGAAATCATGTTCCCAAATACATTTGCTATTGCAGCTGCTATTTAATAAAATGCAAATAATAAGTAATGGCTCTCTAAGCACAGAAAATGAGAAGCTTTTATTATTTATCCTTATAAAACTTTAGAGCCATTGAATAGATTTAGAATTTGTGACATTGCCATTAAGCTCAGCCTTCATTTACTAAATCATAGCTAAGAGCAAAGGTTCTCTTCACAGTTGCTGAGCCCTGTTACATCTTCTTGCCAAGGATTTCTATAAGTGGATGCACAGGCATGACAAGGAAGGGATGTCAGGGCAGCTGGATATTTAAAGAGCTACTCTCAGTCATTCCGGCAGAACCACTACTCTACCCCAACAGGGCAATCTACACACTTGGGAATGAGCAGAGAAATAAGCCAATATACAGGGTCAGTCTAATGTTGTACTTTTATAGCTCTTTTCATCCCAGAGGATTATAACTGTAAAGGCTGTATACATCTGAAAGTCCCACCACTACTGCTGAAATCCAGTAGTTTGCTGCAAAGGAACTCTTTAGCTGCATAAAATGGCAATGCAGCAATTTACAGCCAGCGACACAGGTGTCTGACAGAAAGAATAATTGTGGGGAACTGTGCTGCAGTTACTCAAACTGGGATCTCTCTGTGCTTCAGCAAGGACCGAGACTTCGCAGTGAGGGCAGACAGCTGTGACCCTGACAATCCTGGTGTGAAGAAGCAACAGGCTTCATGGACAGCTAATCCTGTTGTGCTGTCCTTGCAGAGTGGCCCACCGAAACTCTGAGTTCGTTGTGCCCTTCTCCGCGTGCAGCCCCGAAGAGCTTACAGCCTGAGGCGGCGCGGCAGCAGGCGCCAAGTGCCACGAGCTGCTCGAGACTGCAGTGTCAATCAAACACCAAAAGTAGAGGGCGAGTGTGTCAAACCATAATTTCTGCTGACCTGAGGAAGCTGTTGGCTGAAACGTTTGGAGACTGTTGCCTTTAGAAATATATGAAAAAGAAGTTGGATCAACTGGTCTGTGGAATAAGAATAATCCTGGGAATCCTTCCAAGGCGAGGTGTATGGCACGAGGCACTGGCTCTGGTTCCAGCGACAAGGTGACTGTCTGCTCACCTTGATGCTATTGTACCAGTAAGGAATAATTTACGTCGAGATGCTGTTTGTGGACAATGACAATAGCTTAATTTTCCTGTAGCTTTCAGTTGAGGTTGATTGTGTAGTTTATAAACAGAAATTAGAATGGGTCTGCAAGTTGGTTATTAGATGCATTTTTAGATGGGTCATTACATTAAAGTAGGAAGGGTGAAAGGAGTGGTCCAAAATCATGTGATGAATTATTGGCAAAGCCAATAAACAAATCCTAACTTTTTCCTTCAACATGTCCGTATGTATGCTGTAACAAATGTACAAAGACAGCTAATGAACTGTCAAAAAGCACAATACAGCTCACGTAAAAAATTGTCACACTTTTTATTGTTAGCTGCTAGTGAAAATACAGCATATTACACATGGAAACAGCGGTGCATTCATGCGAACACACACAGTGTGGAAGGACATATATCCTACATGTTTTAATTATCCAGCTAGGATTTTTTCCAGTATATTTTCATGGTTACTCTGCTCATCACAATAGACTTTGTTTGTTATTGATCCAAATGTGTATACAAGCGTGAAGCGGTGAAGGTGAAGGATGGTTACAAAGCCTGTAGGAATGAGTGCCTCTGTTCTGGCTCATGGGAAATGCCAAAGATGAAAGCAGGTGCATTCCCCTACCTGGGGTGCACTGAGAGCATTTCTGAGGAAGAAATGACATTCTTCACGGCTTGTCAGCATACTCCCCAGCCTATTAAAGAGAAGCAGTGGATTCCTATCCAGCCTGCATAAGCTGATGCAGTTTGCCAAAACAGAGGCTTCTTGTTGCAGCTGCTGGGGAATCCAGTGCTATGATCCTGGTAGAGATGTTATGGTATCCTTTCTTAAGGCACCTATTAGCATAGGATCTCAGCACTGATCTCATGGGCTGTTGCTGCAGCTAGAAAACAACTGACACATTAGGCTGATTAATCCCTGTAGTAATTCCATTAACCTCCTTAATGGAGTTATAACATGGATGAATTTACCCCTCTGCAGCAATGCGAGAGGGAATTGCCGTAGAGAGCCTTTAAATACGGTGTGGCAGGGATGTCTGAGGTAAACATTTTTTTGTTTGTTTTAGTGCAAAGTGAAGCATCCTGACCAGCTGGAAAACCTCCCTGTCTTCTGGGATTTTGAAGTCTTCACAGCACTAACGGTGCGGGTGCCCCCTGTGAGAGGGTGATGCATCAGGGCTCAGACACATCAGCAGGGCTCTTGGCACCCTCCTGACAGCTCGCTGTGTGTCCACACTTCCCTCTCTCTCTGCCTCACAGGCACGCAATAGCCTGCCTCATCACACAGCTTCTCGAACGCAGCCTTTTCATTCACCTCTGCGGTTTCCTCTCCTTGTGCCTCCATCCGATCATGATTTATCTGCTTGCTGCTCCCTGTCAGAAGGGCAGCTTTGCCTGGACCGTGTCATTGGGCAAAGGACTGCTAAAAATAAGTAGCAGAGCTACAGTCCTGACATATCATTGCATAGGGAGAAGAACAAGAACAGAAATGAGAAATCCTGAATTTCTCTTTGTTTTCTTCCTGGTTTTCTAGCCTGTGGAGAGAAGGTTTTCCTGCCGCATTAGCCATGTGCATAGCCTGCTCCTAGGGCAGCTTGATTGCATTGCAGTTCTGTCATTAAAGGCTTCTCAGTACTGTGAATTTACCTCAAGTACATAAGAGCCAAAAAGGCACCCTGCAAAACCCTCCCAAGGAACAGACCCTGTTTTTGCAGTCTACCACAACAGCCCAGGCTCTCTGAAAGCTCCTGCTGCGGTTCCTTAGGGACTATGTAGGGTAGCTAATGGGTCTGGAGGAGTCAGGCAGGAAGACACAGGAGGGTCTGACTAATTTTTCTGCTAGTTCAAAGACTGTTGCCATGTACGCAGGTGCAGTGATGTGACTACTAAGCTGCAATATCTCTTCATCTACATGGTTTGTGATCTCCTTGTTAATATGCTAAATTTATTCTGTTTGATAGCCAGTCCTCTCCTCCCACAGAGGCTGCAATCCCGAGAGACGGAGTAGCCCAGCTCTTTAGTGATCCAGGAGACAGTGGGAGAGAACAGGGGAGGTGGTGTGTGCATGGGATGCACACACACACACGGGGATTTTATTTCTCTTTCTGCCTACGGTAGTCACTTCCCACATTCAGCACAGGGATGAGAAGTCCTAGCAGCCACCTCTTGCCAAAGACCTCTTGCAGGTTCTCCCTCCAGGGCCGGGCTCTTACCACCATCCCTTTCCGCACCTGGTACCGCGTCTGCCCACGCAGGATCAGCAGCATCTGGTGGCAGCAGAAGCCAGCACAGGCCAGTCCGATCCCAAGCCAGAGGTAGAGCATGAGGATGACAAACATCTCAGAGCTAAGGAGAGCTCCTGCAGACCAAGAGTCGGGGGGAGGGAGGACAACAGAAGAAAGAGTTTAGACACACCTCACATGCCAGTGAAACACCCAGCCCAAGGAACAACGAGCTGCCTGTATTCTCTGGCCACAAGGGGCGAGTTAGGAGCAAGACAGGCTGGCTGCTCTAATGATATAAAATTGTTTCCTTTGTAGCATCTGATGCAATGGACCCTGCTGGGAAAATGCTAAAATGATAATGATCTCCGTACACTTCTGCCTTTGCTGTTAATGTGAGGGTCTACATTATGGGGGCAAATTCAGCCGAAGTGAAACATGTCTGTAACACTTCAGCACTATTTTGAAGAATGGTTAATTTATTTAAGGATCTACCTGCTCATCGCAGTGAATCTAAGATTTCTAGGTTCCTTTTGAAAAGAGATGTGGGTCCTACAGCATGCAGCTGCTTCCAGAAGCCTTACTGTGTGCATTAATACAGAAAGACTTGGGATCTCCCCCCCCTCCATATCATTATACATAATTTTATATATATATATTTCT